CCTCCTATATAAATCACAGGCAGGAGGCCAGAGGCAGTTCCCTGCCAGCAGCTTGACAGAGAGGAGCTAAAATGCGAGAACTGCAGGTACTCCTCAAGCAGGTAAAGGGTGGCAGCTCTATGATGTCTGAGTAACGTTGTTATAGCCAGGCTGCTTATGTTTAAGTTGTAGCCAAGAGGCTTGAGTTTGTGTTTTGCTTTGTTGTTACACCGGTGGTTTGGGTAAGGCTATTAGGGGTTGGAGGAGGCCTCATAGGGACCCACAGTGGTGTGGGGGCCCCAGCTCCAGTGAGGGCGCAGCATCCTCATAGGGACCCACAGTGGTGTGGGGGCCCCAGCGCCAGTAAGGGCACGGTGTATGGGGTGCATAGATGTTTGTTTGTTTGTTTGTTTGTTTGTTTGTTTTAACATTTTATTAGAAAACCAGGCTATAACAAAAGACTCAAAATGACCCCAAACAAAGGCCTCACAAAAGGATAATACAACATTTCAAAAAACATAATACAAAACATCGGAATTGATATCATAATTCACGTCATCTCATTTGTACACAATATATACAACATCCCTGAGTATTGGCTATCTAACATGTTACATATATCATATTAGACATCCTGTACGTTTCTCCACCCCCCCCCCCCCCAAAAAAAAAAAAAAAAGGAAAACGTGAGTGCAATATAGGTCTCTTGTTGTCTCTATCCCATGTGCAACCCTCGCCAGCCTTTTCTACTCACAATGTTGACTCTTAGATTAGCATAGATGCCAGCCCCGGAGAGAGGGGTGGCTGAGAAGCCCCAGTGCGGGCGTGGCGAGCCCTGGAGAGAGGGGGTAGCAGTGCGGTGAGCCCCGGAGAGGGGTGGCTTGACCGAGAAGGCCCCATGTCTGCACAGAGAGCCCCAGGAGAGGGGCGGCATTAGAGAGAGAGCCTCAAGAGAGGGGCAGTATTCTTGAGAAGGCCCAGAGTGGGCATGGAGAGCCCTAGGAGAGGGTGGCAGTACAGAGAAGGCCTCGGAGTGAGGGGCGTGAGAGTAGACTGAGAGACCGAACAACGTCTAGTCCAACTGTGAGGCCTGGGGCGTGGTATAAGGGGTGGTTGGAGCCAAGCATAGCCCATAAGGCTAGGGTGCCCGGGAAGCAGCCATCATACAGTGAGACCCACAGAGAGTCCGGGAAACCACGGGGATGGAGGTCTTAGCGAACCGTGTCCAAAAGGGTGTAAGGCAGCCTCCCAAACTTTTATATAAACATCAAAGATATGGTGGGTGAGAATTGGAGGGTGCCCTTGGACTGGCTTGGCACAGGGGGAAGGGGCCTTAAGGAGAACATGGCCCTCCTTGGAGGACCCCACTCGTGACACTGGTGCATTGGCCGGGAACTTAAGGCTGGAGGTCTTAGCGAACCGTGTCCAAAAGGGTGTAAGGCAGCCTCCCAAACTTTTATATAAACATCAAAGATATGGTGGGTGAGAATTGGAGGGTGCCCTTGGACTGGCTTGGCACAGGGGGAAGGGGCCTTAAGGAGAACATGGCCCTCCTTGGAGGACCCCACTCGTGACACTGGTGCATTGGCCGGGAACTTAAGGCCATGCACGGGGAAGGAACCCATGTCCCTGAGAAGGGGAATGAACCTTAGGGCTAGTACAGATTTACAGACAGACAAGGCAGCGAGATTGAGGCTTGAGAAGGCAAGCCCAGATCAAAGAGGAGACTGCTATTAAAAGACGTAGAAGGGAAGACGTTGGGTCTGGTCTAGGACAAAAGTAGAATCATGGCAGGGATAGAAGACAGAGAGAAGAAGAAACAAGAGAAATTCTATTACGGGTGAGTGAATTGGAGGAAGACATTGCACTGCTAGAGTGGGAGCTAGAAGTAGCCCAATCCCAGAAGGAGCAGGCGGAGGCAAAGGCCACTGGATTGAACAGCGGGTAGAAGCAGGGAGAAAGGAAGGAGGGCCTAAAGAAATTAGGCACCTGATTGCAGCAGAGGCAGAGAGGACTCGAGCACTAGAACGGCTCATGGCAGAAGAGACCAAAAGGAGCAGACGGAGGGAAGAGAATCTGCAAGAGATGCAGAGGGAAATGGCAGCATGGAGGGCAAGATACGAGGCACTCTGCAAGCGAAACCTGTTCCTGGAAAAGGAGTTAGA